CCCCTCCCCGGCAGCTCAGCCCCACCCCGACAGCCCCTGTTTTCCTTGGTTGTGTTTTGGGGAGTGCCTGGCACCCCCAGAGGTTCAGCTTCATGGCTGACAGGCGACAATGGCCGAGGCTTCACCGATAGCCTTGGTAACCACCGTAGTAATTCCTGTAGTACCGGTCTCTGTCCTGCGGGTGGTGGTAGTAGTAATTCTGCCACTAGAAGAGAGGGGGACCCTGTCACTTGGAGCCAGAGCTGACCAAGGACAGAGGTGGCACTGATCCAGGTCCTGCCTCCCGCCCTCACCTTTCAGATACTTACATCCCGATTGTACTGTCGGTAATAGTCTCTGTATCTGTTGTACTCGTAATCTCGCCCGTAGTATCGATCATAGTCCCCCCGGTATCGGTCATAGAAGTTACGGTAACCCTGAGAAGGGAGAGAGAGAGAGAGAAGAGATTTATGGGGTTTTCCTATAACATCCCACTTCAACCCCCTCCTAAGTGTATCTTAGCTTGATGTTAGAAGCAGGCTTAATTTTTCCCAGATAAGTTCTTTCAAAGGAATATTGTAACGGGCAAAACCCTAGGCCCTAGAAAACAGCCCGAACCACTCTGCTCCCCCGAGCCAATAGGAATGGCTTCCACGGCCAGAGAGGGAGCAGAAGGAGAGCTGACTCACCCCTCTGTTTCCAGACTGCCCCCAGTACTGCTGCCCGTAGGCCCGGTTGTCGTAGCCTCGGCGCTGCCCGCCCACTGGAAGAGAAATGGAGAGCGCGCTCAGACAGCTGGCGTGGGGTGTGGGGTCCTGGCTCTGTGGCCAAAGGCAATTCTGGGGGGAACAGAAGGCCTGGTTCCCTCAGCCTTACAAAATGGACCTTTTAAAAAGTCTGAGGGTGGAGGGCAGAGAATAGAGACACAACAAAACCATGCCTCCTTGCTTTAGAAGCTCCCCAATTCCTCTAAGACATTTCAAGTGGCAAAAAGATACATGGCAGAGTTAGAGAAGTGTGTCAGAGCTGCCATTCACAGAATCACAGACCTCAGCCTGGAACGGGCATGTGAGCCATGTCATTTAAATAAATCAAGCACTTGGGACAATACGCTCTCTGTGGGCCAGGGTTCACTGAGCTCAGCACAGTACCAGGTACAACATTTTTACTGACTCACATACACACATTTTTAAACAGCAGTAAATATGCAATGAGGGCTTACCTCACAAATAAGACTCTGTAACACAGTGGGGAAGGCGATTAAGTCCACTAGTGGCCACTAACTTATTTGTAACCCAACGTCATTCAGGTTTGTTCCCCCACAAAACAGACTAGTAACTGAATGACTCATTCCCCTCTTTGGTCGACAGTCAGTTTGATCCAAGAGACCAAGCCACAGGAAAGCTGGAGATGCTCAACTTTACTGCATCAAGCCTTCAGGCATAGTGAAGTGGGAAAGGCACGAAGGCTAGGAGATGCCGAGGCTCAGGTATCACTTTTCAAGGAAATAAGTCTAGACAAGCACTGCCTTTTGGTGAAAGGCTAGAGGAGGAGCTGGGAGGCCTGAGGATACAACCCAGAAGCAGCTCCGTGAAGAAGGCACTTCCTCATTTGTCAGGCACTTGGCTTGATTTCCGTGGGTCCCACTGCACTGACACAGAGAACAGACAGGCCTGGGGCTGGCAGGTGCCCAGGACTTACCATAGCCTTGGCCTCGGCTTCGGTTCTGCCGGTTACGCTTGTTTCGATTATTTCGGCGGTTTGTCCGCTTCTCTGAGGGGGGCAGCAGCTTCCGTGCCTCTTCCTTGTACTTAGTGACAATGGGCTGAGCCTCCTCTTTCTCCAGCTCTCCGTATGTTACCTCGTCCACATAGTCACATTTTTCAGGCAGAGAGAAGTTGGCTGTAAGAGTAAGAGAGAAGCTTTTGGGCCTGAAAAGTGCATAGGGCCTGAAAAGTGCATAGAAGGGTAAGATCTCATTATAAAAATTCTATTAAAGGGCGAGTAAGATTTCCTAAATGTGCTGGGTTAATCCCCACTCCCATGTGGATAAATTATCAAATTTGTATGCTACGAGTTTACTTCAATTCTAACAGCCCCAGACAAAGGGCTCTCTACAAACTGTAGATTTACAAGTTCTCAAGTGACCCATAATAAATTAGAGTGAACTGGGTTAGGGTTTCTTATCAGAGGAAGCAGGTATCTAGAGCCTAAAAGTAACTGAGAAAGTTTTGGTCTCAGATAAGATGCTAAGGAACACATTTTTAAAAAGATAATACACAGTAAGAAAAGTACTCAGCTCTGAAGGCATCTACCGAGTCAAACAGAAAGCCAGAGCACCAGGGTCTCATTCTCCACCTGCACTTGTTGGGCTGGCTGGTCCACGCGTAGGTTTCTACACTCATGGCTCAAAGGCACAGTCCCAGGATTTGGTTCAACAGGCTCTCATGATTCTTTCATGAATCGACAGCCCTCAGTTTCAAAACTGAGCTCAGAGTGGCTGATAGGTTGACAAAGTTCATTGTGAATAAATGCAGAGACCCCAGTTCACAGGTGTGTAAACCAGCTGCCACCTGGGACTTGTCAGGATGCCAAGAGCTACAGGCAGAAAGGAAAATGACACTGCATGGGAAGCAGCAGAAGCTGGGCCAATAACAATAGTTAACTCTGCCTTGTTCTCAGGCTTTCCATTTCACAGGATTTTGGATTTCAGGAAGGCACCAAAACTCAAACTACCCAGTGAAAACCAGGCCTAACCTGGTGCCAGAAACCAGGATAAACCAATTCGTTCCACCACAGTCCAGTGTGCACCGCACAGCTCTCCCCTGCTGTCCCTGGCCAGCATAAACTCCTGAGAGGCAGAGCTTTGTCTCCTTCACTGCTACTCTCTCACAGCTACGACCACATCCATCACTGCTGGGTCACGTGTGATGCCCTGCGCCCCTCCATCAGGTTTCTGAGGCTGTGAATCTACAGGAGGAGACTGCTCACTTTCTGCTCGAGAGCGGCTGGGAAATCCCAACAGCTGACCTTTCCGTTAGCAGCACACTGTGACGGCCCGCACCACCAGAGCACTTTACACCGAGGGCAGCGGTGAGCAAACGGTACAGACTGCAGAAGGACTGGCCCAGTGGACAGATTCGGTGAACTTGAGATTTAACGATCCCACAGGACCATCTTATCCTTCCGTTATCTTACGCAGAGTGAGTCAAGTTGACGTGATGCTCCTCCATTCACTTCTTATTCAATATGGCCTGCCGAGTTAGTTTTTGTAAATACCCGTAAGGTTGCTCTTCAGACTGATGCTAAAGATGTGGAGCATCACTCTAGGTGCATGTAGCTGAGTTGAAACTGACTCATGGCTGACCCTCCAGCAGGTTCTCAAACGCTGTAAACTGCACTGGAGGAGACTGCCCACCTTTCTCCCCTCATCAAGGGACAGGGTCTCCAACAGGTAGAATTTTCACTCACCTTTCATCTCCAGCATGATTGACTCGGGCACATCATCTCCCTCCACTTCCTTCCTCAGCTCCAGCCGCTTCTTCCAATCCTCCTCGTTTGAGACAACCACCACCACTTTCCGAGAGAAGGACTTGAACAGCAACAGCTTCCGCCGCTGGCCAGAGTTGTACACATTACACTAAAGGAAGAAATAATAACAACAGTACGAGTTTTTTAATGAAACTTAACAAATTAAACGAAAGTATGGTAAGTAAGACTACGTGTTTAAATATGTAATTTCTAACAAAACTCTACAAACTTTTTATCCCCCCCTTCAAACTCTACATAATGACAGGCAACAAGAAAACTGAGGCTCAGAAAGGTTACTGGACTTGTCTAAAGCCACAGACCGACTGGTGGGGTCAACACTCCTACCGCCTCTAGTATCTGCTTATAGTCTGAGTCCAGACACTGGCAAAAACACCAGCACGTGGGTTAAACACTAATTACAAAAACATTACATTCATACTAGAACTGGATGGTTATACTAAAGTGACCCAACTCTGACTCATAATTCAGTTTCTTTCTACATAGGTACTTCACAACTTGACAATGTCATTTGTATCACCTACGAAACCAGGTGTCTTCTGAACGCTTGAACAATACCTGATCGAGAATGAAGTTCCTCTTTGTCCGGGAAGCAATCTGGACCAGCTTACTAAGGCACTGGGAGGCTTGCTGAACTAAAAGATCCCGACTTTTTGGGTCCATCTGTGGTTCTTCAGGTCCCTTCATCTGGTGAGTTTGTGAAGAAGAGAAACTTAAGAAGTTATGTGGCAAGTTAGGGCCCAAGAGTTCTTGGTATACATCATGCCTTGAAACGCCAGCAAAGCTATCACACCAACTCCTTAGTGTAGTCTTAATCAACCACTATTGCAGATTTCCACCTGCTTTCAGAAACTGGATACCACAGCAAAGGAAAACAAATCTACTTGAAGGATACGTCAAAAAGCCTACTCATCTGTGTCTGTGAAATGCTTCTCTCTAGTTACCTAACGGACAAACCCCGAAGTTAGGGGCTTCCTGGGACCTCCAAAGTAAACACCGCAATGACTCATTCCCTTCAGACTCACCCGCATCTGGTTGAGCACAGTCTCAGCTCCCAGAACATTGTATCTTTTCTCGGGGTTTTCTTTTGCGTATTTCAGTGCCCACTGGGTCTTTCCAGATCCAGGGAGTCCTACCATCAGAATCACCTGCAGTACACAGAATCAGGAAAAAAGGAAAAGGAATGAGGGTCATGCTTACCAAGAACACCCTTGTCCCAGGTCTAGCTCTGAGAAGGCCGGAGCCGCGAGAGTACAGACTACCCTGGCCACCAGCCCATGCGGAGAGCGGGCAGCATGCTTCTGTGCACTGTCCTGCATACCTCACACTCCTCTATGGTCTTGGGAGGGACTGCAGTGCGCACCCGCTCCTCGACAGGCACAGCATGGATGAACACAAACTCTTCTGGTGCTGGGAAGAAGGGCTCCTCCTTCTGACCAAAGTTTAACTCTACAACACAATTTTTGCAGAGGACATGGGGTAAGAGGGCCCGGTCAGCCAGGGATTCCTTGTTGATCCGGAATGCCACACCTAGGTCTTCTCCATTCTTGGAAAAGGAGAGCTCTACTTCTTCTGTCTCAAAATTCTACAATGACAAAGGACACAAGCTCTTACACACTTGCACAGTTTAGGGACAATTCAATTTTTCAAAAGCCTTTTTTTAAAAAAAACAAACAAGCCAAACTCTCCAGCTGCCACTCAACACAAGAAAGCAAGCAGTGACTCAAATGCATAAAAGTCGGCAGCTGATGGGCAGCACAAGTGAATTCCCAGTGCCTTCTATCCAGTCCTTCCTGGTAACGCACCACTTTCAGAAGGACTTACAGCAAAGCAGCCAATGACATCATTCTCCCCAAAAGTCTGGCCAAACTCTTCAAACTGTCCGTTCTCTGCTTTAAGTCCTCGTCCATCAAAGCCGTAAGAGAATTCATCCTCACCTACAACAGTCAACAATAACCTGTTACTCAAAATCTGCAGAGTATAACCAATATGGTAGCGAGTATTAAAGAGGAAACTTGAAAAGTTAAGTTTACCAAGCTGCGGGCGGGAAAAATCGACAGACCACCCAACTCGAAGGAGAGAAACTTCTGTGCAGCCTTCTTTCATTGGGAGATTCTGGGTTACCTAGCCGAAGAAGGAGAAGAATTCTCAAACCCTCTGCCCAACTCAGAAGAAACCTCCACGTTATAAAGACAATGTTTCCACAGTAATGGGGAAAACTACATCGCGTCTCAAAATCAGAGTAGCTGCCATTAGGCTTCAACCCAATCACGGGGGCCTAGTTCTTAAACCCAAACCACTGGCGCCTAGTTCTTAATGGTACTAAAGTCACTCTTAGAATTTCTTTTCTGCATTAATATTACACTGAATGAGGGTATGACTGGATTAACACATGAACAATGCCATTAAGCTGTAAATACATCCGCATACACATAAACACTACCTTGGCTTCAAAGCAGACTTTCCCTTTCTTCACGCCATAGGTACTTCTTGCCCCAGACCAGAGGGTGGGGAATTTCTCTGAGAACAGAGGCTGCCCTCCATAGCGGTCTTTGCTCACTTGAAAATGGAGATCCGAGGTATCTGGCAGGAAGGATGACACTGGTTTACTCCAATGGCTACACTTAAAAAGCCACCACCAGTGCCTAAATACACTCAGCTGTCAAGAATGGATACAAAGTTTCCTATGTGTTAAACTACTTAGAAGTTGCAAGCTATGAAGTTACAATTTCCAAAATTACTCTTAGATAAGTGGTTTTAAAAAAACCAAACACACAGAGATCAATCTCTGCTTTATACATACACGTGTCCAGGTTCACAAGGGTCTGATCTTCCTCCTCCTCTTTTGCCTCTTCTTCAGGGGGTGGCGGGGATTTTGAGCTATACAAGCAAGAAAAGAGCAAACACAATGTAACCGGGGTGCTCTTCCAAAAGACAGGTCTGTTTTAAACTATCAGTGAATATAAAATCCCAGCACACAGCTTCTTTCAACAATTGAGAGAGGGTAGTGGGAGCTTTCCAGGGTAGATTCAATCTAAAACTTAGGCCTATACGAACCTATTCCGTTTTTAAATCCACCCTCCTTCCAGACTCTCCAATCAACATCAGGTAAACCAAAACCAGAGCAGACAGGCCCTTGGATGAAAGGGACTGTTTCCCTCACCGGCTGTGGTAAGCCTCCTCTCGGAATTCATAGTAAGCTCGGCCATGTTCATCCTTCTCATCCCGCTGTCTCTTTACCCCCCGCCGCTCACCATCTGAGCCTGCTGGTTTTGACTTTTCACTATCTTGGTCATCTCCTACAAAAAGGAGGGAAAGAAAATCAGTAGTTTTTATACTGGCATGTAAAATTAGCTCAGAACCAATAGGAACTAAAGGGACATCTGTGTAGCAGTCTGATGAGAAGAGCCAGGTTGTCCCCACGACATCCAAAAAAAGGTTTCACTTCCAGAGATCACCTTCCTGCCATTGGCTGGGATTTTATTAAACAGGAAAAACAAAGTAACACTGAACAGCACAGGCTAATTACACTCAACACAGTTGATAGAAACTGGACAGTTCATGCATTCTAAATGTATCAGCGGAAATCAGGTCAACCCCACAAATTTTCTTAGGACAGACAAAGGAATATTCCCTGTTAATTTTGACTTTCGATTGTCAGATTTGAACAGCATCTGGTACTTCGTTTCCACCACTTCCACTGCTTCAGGAAACAGGGGCCTCATTTAAAAAAAATTTTTTTTAAAAGCCCATTTTCCCATCTTTTAAATAGACAGTCACAGCCTTACTTCTACAGCAAATGGACTCATGTGCATAACACAAAGCTGTATTTTTATCATGGATAGCCACCGAAAAGTTACACGAGCAAACCATTAGGTCACAAGAGACCCAGAAATAACGCTGCACCTAATTGCACGTAATTTGGGACAGAAAGGTGTTGCTGTATATTTAGCAACTCTCTACAAAAGGAAAGCACCCTGGAATTTTTCCCGAGGCTTTCCTATTACACAGCACAAAGTTTTCATAATAACAACAACAACTTCTTTAAAGAAGTCCTTTCCGCTGCTTCATTACCTACCATTTGAAATAATACAAACGTTATGTAATGGGATTTTTTTTTTTTTTGTCCCAGGGCACAGGACAATCTGCATGTTGCATGTGATCATGACTGTCAGAGACTGAGTTCCGACGACACCATGAAACTCCGGAACAACTCCCAAAACATTGCATTTGCAAAGGGACAGGACGATTCACTGGCCTGGAAGCCCTTCTACGTTACCTTCCTACTGCCAGAATTGTTAGGGATCCGTCCTAATGACCCAGTCAGTAATGACAAAAGAAGAAAGGTCATTCAACACCGCAGGGCAACTCTATAGTCCTTTCCTGAAGGTTAACAGAGGGGCCCGTTAACACCTCAATTATCATTTCAATTCGGGAAGCAGGGGTCTCGCAGTGTGCGCGGAAAAAACACCAAAGTAGAGCAAATCTACATAAACACCCTCCGGCCAAGATGAAAAGTTTAAAAACACAAGCAAAGGAAATGCTCCTGCCAAGTCAAGTTAACTTCTTCTCAACGGGCTAGACTAAGACTTTCCCTTCGCTAGTTAACCATTAAACTCGACACCCTCACCCGACAGGTGGATTCCCCTGCTGCTCCCGCCAAGAGCAAAGTTACATTTCCCGATTCCGTGGGGCTCAACTTCTAGCAATTGGCCTTTTCCAAGGAGCGCACTTTGACGGACTTGGTTTACAGCGTCACATTTTGATCATTAAAAAAAAAAAAGTCAACAAGTCAGGTGGCCCAAAGGCCTAGCCTCCACCTGTCCCTGGGATTGCCCAATTCCTCCGTGCATTTCACGCAGGGCCGCGCGAGGCCGCTCCCCAGGTCGCCCCCCAGCAGCTGGCATGCACACCCCCTCGCTCTCCCATCCACTCCCACCGAGGCACCACGGTGGCCAGGCGGTGGCCAGGCAGCGCTCGGGGCCACCAGCAGCTGTCAAACTGCTCCGGCGAGGCGGGCAGGGGACGCGAACCAGCGCCCCCCGGGGGAGTGTGAGCCACAGCCAGCGGGATCTGACACTTGCAGACCAGGAAGAGCCCGGGCGGGGTGCAGGAGCAAGGGCGCACCCCGCACGGCGCAGTCGGGCTCCGCTGCCAGGTGCTCACCCTGCTCCTCGGCGGCCTTGTCACCCGGCGCTTCGGATCCCGGAGTCTCGTCCCCGCTCCGCTCCTCGGCCTCGTCGCTCTCCCCCTTGCCGGGGCCCTGCTCTTCGCCACCATTGACCCCACCTGACTCGGCCGTGGCTTCCGCCGGCTCCTCGGAAGAAGCATCGGGCTCGGCCGCGGCCTCCGCTGTCGCTGCCTCCGGGGGCTCCGGCGGCGGCTGCGCGGCCTGGTCCGGGGACTTGGCAGGCGGTGGCTCTTCGTCTTCGTCCTCAAGCAGCGCCTCCTCATCCTCCTCGTCGTCTTCGTCCTCCTCGTCCCCGCCCGGATCGCCGCCCGACGCGGACACAGGCCGAGGCTCCGCCTTGCAGGCCCCGCCGGGCCCGGCCCCGACACCACCGGCCTCGTCCTCGAGCATCTCGGCGTCCAGCGCCTCCTGCAGTCGCTGCGCCAGATCCACCTTAAGGCCGCGCGAGTCCAGACCCCGCCGCTGCAGCTCCGACCGCAGCTCGGTCACTTTCAGCCGCTTCACCTCCATCGCCG